ATAACACACACAAACACACACACACACACACACACACACCTTATGAAAACCTGTGTCCGATGAAGTGTTGTCTGATCCTGCCCAGACAAAGATGAAAAACTAAAAAAAATCTCTGGGAGAAGACGTGGGAACTATCGTCAGCCACCTCATCGTTCCTACAGGGACGTGATGAAAAGCGATCGCAGATGAAATGAGCTGACGGCAAAGACACAAGACGGCTTTAAGAAGACGCAGACAAGAGGCCAGGGGATGATCTGAGCAGGAAGGACAGCTGCAGGGAAAACCAGACACACATACAGAGAGAGATATATACGTCCATTCCACCTTAAGAGCCGGGACATGACGAGTAAATGTGTTCAAGAGATAAGACGGAGCCACAGGAGGAGAGGGAAGAGTCTGTGTCAAATTGTGTTTTAATTATGTGCAGTGGTGAGAAAAGGCAAGGTTATTTGTATGGCACAGTTCATACACAAGGCACGGGACAAGATAGAAACGAAGATCAAAGTAATGTATTAAAATCATAAATAATCACAACAAATTACAAAGAGGAGATGAAATCCTCTGAACGTTGGCAGAGAAGAAGCCTGTCTCGCATTTTCAAGAAGACTGTTCCAGATTTTAGCTGTGTGATTCTGAAATGCTGCCTCGCCATTTTTTTGTTACTCTGAGACCAGCAGGAGGCCAGTCCCTGTGCTCCTCAGAGTCCCAGCAGGAGGCCAGTCCCTGTGCTCCTCAGAGTCCCAGCAGGAGGCCAGTCCCTGTGCTCCTCAGAGTCCCAGCAGGAGGCCAGTCCCTGTGCTCCTCAGAGTCCTAGCAGGATGTTTTCATGCCGTCGCTGGAACACATTTACAAATACAAACTTTTAGGTCCAGTTTCAATCTTTTCTCCTCTTGTAAAAACTCCACCTTAAGCTGAAACTCCAGTCTAAACTTTTACTCCATTAAAAACACAACAATATGAATTAGTAAAAGTAACTGGACTTTTGAGAATCCCGGTCTCATTCGGTCCTAATCGTGGCACAGGATCCATGCTCTGACACATCCATCCATTCCCTCTCGGGCCCGGAGTCGGAGGCTTTGATGTTAGGCATTTTTTTTAGGGTTTGTTTTACTTCAGCCACTGCCAAAAGAGTTTGAGACTTTCAGACGGACGTTAAAATCAAGCACCTTTAAAATAACTGCGGGATGAAAAACGATGAAGCCGAGGCCTCGTCCCGACGTTTACACACGAAACACCGCGGCTCGTGTTTCCAAACATTTATCAAAGATGTTTTATAGAGACGCAGCAGGTTGAACAAGGGAAGGACGTAGCACTTTAAATATGTTTGAGAATGTTTTTTTGTTTTGACTCTGCGGAGATCTGTTTCTTTTAAGGCGGTCTGTGCAGATTCAGGAGGATTGTGAATAATGTTTGTGCGGGTAAAGAAGTATCTGAAGTGTTTTGTATTGTTTGTATCTATCTCTCTCTCTCTCTCCTCTCTCCCTGTATCTCTCTCTCTCCCTCAATCTCTCTTCCTCTCTCTGTCTTCTCTTTCTATCTCTCCCTTTCTCTCTCTATATCTATACTTCCTCTCTCTCTTCTCCCTCTTCTCTCCCGCTCTCTCCTGCTCTCTCCCTCTCTCTCTCTTTCTCTCTCTCTCTCAGAACTTCCAAAATGTTCTGGAACATGTCTTTTGTTGAACTCTGAGCGAGCCGTTTCTTTAAAGGAGGAATTTACAGACTCTGGAGGAAAGTAAATTATGCTGTTTAAAAAAAAAAATGATTTTCAAATTTGTAAAGAGGAGTTCTGTGCAAAAACAAAACAAAGTATAAAAGACACACAATAGTGTCATAGTTTGAAAGATCAAATACCTGGACCCAAATCCCAAAATCCCACTTCCATAAAGCTCCGCTCGGTCCCTCAACTCTCTCTGCTCTCTCTGCTCTCTCTGCTCCTCTCTGCTCTCTCTGCTCCTCTCCACTCTCTCTGCTCCTCTCCACTCTCTCTGCTCCTCTCCACTCTCTCTGCTCCTCTCTGCTCTCTCTGCTCCTCTCTGCTCTCTCTGCTCTCTCTGCTCTCTCTGCTCTCTCTGCTCTCTCCGCTCCCTCTGCTCCTTCTGCTCCTCCCTGCTCCTCTCTGCTCTCTCTGCTCCTCCCCACTCTCTCTGCTCCTCTCTGCTCTCTCTGCTCCTCCCCACTCTCTCTGCTCCTCTCCACTCTCTCTGCTCCTCTCTGCTCTCTCTGCTCCTCCCCACTCTCTCTGCTCCTCTCTGCTCTCTCTGCTCTCTCTGCTCCTCCCCACTCTCTCTGCTCCTCTCTGCTCTCTCTGCTCCTCCCCACTCTCTCTGCTCCTCTCAACTCTCTCTGCTCCTCTCTGCTCTCTCTGCTCCTCCCCACTCTCTCTGCTCCTCTCAACTCTCTCTGCTCCTCTCTGCTCCTTCTGCTCCTCTCTGCTCTCTCTGCTCTCTCTCTCCCTCCACTCTCTCTGCTCATTCTGCTCCCTCCACTCCCTCTCCTACTCTCTCCTCCCTCTCCTCTTCTCTGCTCCCTTCATCTCCCTCTGCTCCCTTCAACTTTTAATTTCCTTAATTGATCTCCTGGTTCTTGCCGAGCTCGGGCTTCGCAGACGCAAAACTAATTGATTTCAAATGTTAATCCCTCTTTCTGCTGAGAGATCCAGGGCCTTCTCTCCATCGATCCCCAATCCATCCAAACTCAATTATTGTTCGCTCTCGGCTCCTCACCGGAGACGACCGGGGAGGACCGGGGAGGGCCGGGGATTTTTGGCTTCGCTCCCGAAACGCAGCGAAGCGAAGATGGATGAACTTATAAGCAGCATGCAGCACATTCTCGAGCCACTTTGTAATCAGTTTGTGTCCACTTCACCGCGTTGCATCTTGTTTTATCAGTAATTTTAGACTCCCGAAGGAATTTGATTTATGCTGAAATGTTGGATTGATGATTGGTTTGAAAAAGGCCAGGGTTAAAACTGGTTGTATTTTGTGTTTGGATAAAAAATGAAATGAAACCAATCATTTAAAATTCAACTTTTCACAGAGATTATTATGGTTGTTTACCAGGGGCCTCCTTTTTCAATTAGAGAGCTACATTTATACAACAGAAGACGCTGTGAGCTACTTCTTTTTGTAGTCACAATACAAAAATCCATGTAAAATTACGGCAAGAGAGAAAACACACGGAGAAATATACGACATTACTGTAAACGTAAGAAGCTAAAGCGTAAATACAGACTGGAAGAACGAAGCTCACAGCGCTCAAAGTCCTCCCACTGCTGCTTCACGACAACAGCATCAGTCAATCACACTCAGCTGCAGCGCCACACTGCCCTCTCCTGGCCGCAATCAGGTACTGCTCGCATCAAACTTCATATCACGAGGAAGCTCCATCCAAGCAGCAGCTCCATTCATGCTGCAACCCTCCTCCTCCCCGTCTACGCCTCGTTCCGGTCCAGCTCTTTAATCCTTCTCCTCGTTCCCACCACAAAATCTTAACCAGAGTTATCTACAGCGCAATAAAAGTAATTTAATTTGTGTATCTCCAAATTTAGCATATTGAAGAAGCAAGATTTCAGTAAAAAATTAGCCAAGAATCAGCTAAGAATAGCATTTTAGCTCGTATCAGTCTCTCCTTTCACAACAAATCTGAAAAACACTTGGATACATTGTCAAAATTCAGAAAAAAACACTTTGAAAATGACCACAATTGCAGTTTTTTGTTGATAAAACAGTTGTCATTGGCTTCTACTACACTGTGACCTTTCTCATCAGGGGAGAGGAGATTACACACGGATCACAGGTACCAGATCTGCCTGGCGACAGACCACCCACCGCACTTCAGTCGATACCCATAATCCACCTCTCTGCTGGAGATGATTGCCGAGGTCACAGGTCACGCTCAACAGGAAGAAGCCAAGATGGAGGACGGAGCTTCATGAGAACAGAATTGGACCGTAGTTAGGGTGTTAGCCGAGTGTGTGTTTGACTCTGAGCCCTTTGAGCTGCTTTGTGTATGAACGGTGGTACACGAATAAACTTGCTTTGCCTTCAGCTATTTCTTTCTGAGCTCCCCTTAATCCAGGGTCAAACTCATTTAGATCCAGGGCCAAGTTTAAAAACATAAGAGTCAGTTGGTGCCAAAAGTATGAAAAGGGGTGTATTCAGCTACTACTACTACCACTACTACAACTGCTATAACTACTACTACCACTACTACAATTACTACTACTACCACTACTACAACTGCTATAACTACTACTACTACTACTACTACTACAGCTACCACTACTACTACTACTACTATTACTACTACTACCACTACTAGAACTGCTATAACTACTACTACTGCTTTACCAGCTGAGGACCGGCACTTTGCCTCTAGCAGTGGAGGTGGGGCGCTTTAAAGCGGTCCCTGAAGAGGCCCGTCTCTGTACAGTGTGTGACCTGGGGGTGGTGGAGGATGAGCCTCATTGTATTGTCCACTTTACTTTGAGCTTTGAAACATTTTATTTGAAAAAGTAAATGCTTCTAACCCAGAGGTCTTTTGGTGGCCGGTGGGAGAAATTATGAACTGGATGTACTGCTATGAAGTTTTTGCCTTTGCTTCTTTTGTTGCTAAAGCCTGGGAGAGGAGACAACAGATTCTGTACCCTGTATAATGCACCAAATTGTAAATTGTTTTCTGTTTTTCATGTCTGTATATGGTCTGTAGCCATCAGAAGTTGTTGTTCAGTGTCATATAAGCCCATGTGGGCTGGGCACTTTTGTGCATGACACTTAAATAAATAAACTCAAACTCAAACTACTACTACAACTGCTAATACAGCCACTGCTACTACTACTACAGAAACCACTACTACTACTACTGCTACTAAGACTACTACTACTGCTACTACTGCTACTAAGACTACTACTACTACTACTACTACTACTACTACTGCTACTACTATCTATTCTGCTGCTGCAAATAGGACTACTTTCTACCAAATAATTGTTCTTGTTCTTTTCACAGAATCTCATGTACCAGTAGCTCCAGTGCAGTTGGAGCAGTCTGAAGTGGGAGGGTCTGCAGTGGGGGGTTCTGAAGTGGGGGGGTCTGCAGTCTGAGGGGGATCAGGACGTGTCGGTATGTAGCCGTGCACTGGGCACCAGACGGAAATGAGACTACAGCAATTTATTCCGAATGATCCAACTCTATCTACGTCTGAAAACCATTAGGGCAATGTCTGTGAAAGCGTTACCATGACGACAGAGACTTTTTTTTTTTGCTTCTTAGTCATTTTGTCCTTTCCATTTGACCTCCTGAGCCTGGGGCTTGGTTCGGGAGGGAAAAGTCATACTCCAAAGGGACAAGGAATATAAAAAAATGTTAGTAATAGTTTACACAGTGCAGTTTTATAGTTTTTTAGCCGGGGAATCTAACTTTCAAACTATTAAAGATGGAAATACTGTATGTAATAGAATCCACTTGGCTTTGTGCTGTTGGCAAGTCAGACGGAACTCAAATTAAGATCAAAATCACTCAATTATTGACTCTTATTTTTATTATTTTTGCAGTGTAGTTTTCACATGTATGTATTTTTGGCCTAGATCAGCTTTGTCAGACCAAAAATTGTGAAAAAACGAGGACCCATCCTGAATCGGCCAATCAGCTTTCAGCCCAAAAATGTCAAATAGTGATTCACAGGGCTCTCTGTTAAAAGAAAACATCTCATCCCAAAGTATCTGCACCTGAGAGCAATTTGTCCTCAATCTCAGAGACTTAATGACTGCATTGAAGTGAGCAAATACACAGAGGGGAGAAGAGAGGGGGAGAGAGGAGAGGGAGAGACAAGGGGAGAGGAGAGAGAGGGAGAGATTAGGGGAGAGAGGAGAGATGAAGGAGAGACTAGGGGAGAGAGGAGAGGGAGAGATTAGGGGACAGGAGAGAGGGAGACACAAGCAATATCATCCGGCCAGCAGCTTAAAAGAGGCGTTCATGTGCTTACAGGAACACCCTCTTCAAATACAGTACAGAAACGCCTCCTCCTTCTTAATTCGCTGCTGAACACATCCGATCTCATTCGGTTTTTCAAAATAAGATATTCAAAATAAGAACAATGTCAATGCTGTTCTTGATGATAGACAGTTCTTTTAAAATATCTATGGGTTTTACCGTCTACCGAGAAATGTTCCCTCCTGGTGGTACTCGTGAGCTACCGTCTATACAGGTGCACAGTGGTCCACTGTATTATTTTTTAACTATCAATTTGATATTATTCATTACAACATTTAAGTGTGAAAACAAGATGGTTGCATTAATTCATGGACGCCGTACATGTTGTGCTGCTAACTGAAGAAACCAGACTTTTAGTCTTTATTGCCAATTACTGGGCCAATCCAAATGAAACCAACTGTCCATGATCTTGTTAGTCCATACAGTATGTTCTACGATTCAATTATTGGCTCTATGCGAATCAGATAGCTATATGGCCTACGCAGGTGGACAACAGCAAGACTCTACGAGGACTCTTGATTGTGTATCCATGTTATGACTATAATATGCTGATTGTCTCTGGATGTGTGACGTATCTGTGATGTAACAATGACTATATAAACCATGTACACAGCTGTAAATACTCCTGAACCAAGTGCAAATATAGCTCCAGAGTTTATATTAATTCAATTGTCTATTATCTTAAATAATAGACTATTTGATGTGTGCAATCTGAGTGCTCTTATTTCCTTTTTTTTCTGCTGTAATATGCAACGATGACACTGAAATTTCTCCACTGCGACGAATAAAGGAATATCTTATCTCACATTACACATACAATACATATATACACTACAAAAATGTAATTGTACACCTTTCAAAGTGTATCTACACAAAAAACACTTTCACAAATAATGTTTATTAAACAAAGCCCATTCGGGTCTGGGAGGTTCTTCTTGGAAGTCAGCCAGGGTAAACTCAGAGTGCCCCCACTGGAAGCCCATTCAATGTTTTCAGGGCTGGGGTCAAGCAGTCTTCCCTCATGTGGGCTGAAAGGGACATTACTCGGCTCTCTGAGATTGGCATGTACAGCTAGGCCCCTTGCAAAGTCATATTGGCAAATGTTTGGTAGATGTTTCCAAGAAAGCAATAAGTCAGTAAAGTTGCGTGGACTTTTTGCCCTAATATTGAATTTTATGGACAACACTTGTCCACATGGGCACATGATCACTGCCCAGCCTCCTGTGGTGCAAAAATACAATGTGAATAAGAAAAAAAGGACACAGTACCGTGTACAAGTTAATTACCTGATGCACTCCAAACTTTTTGAAATACTTTATCATATTTGCTTCTCGTCTCCATTTCCTTTCGCAAACGCATGATCAACTCCATTTTTGATCCTTTGGAATCTACTTTGCACTCAGTGCAGAGTTTCCGGATGGCATGAACCTATAATGCAAATTAGATTTACATAGTAAATATTACATTCAATCCTAGAAAAAGAACAAATGGACATAAATAAAATAAACAAAAAAGTTAAACCTTCAAATTTGATATTTCATCTATCAGCCTGTCCTCAGTTATGTCCATCTCTGTGTACTCCTGTTGTTGCCTCGTTTTTCTGAGGTACAGACAAAAATGGATGGTCAGAATGATTTGATCATTGAAATTGTGTAGTCCATCCTCATACTCTTGATATCGTAACCTCAAACCACACACATCGCATTTTTTGAAGTATGTTGTCACACCTGAATAACAAAGAAATCAATACAAACATATATGAACACATTTACATTATGGTAATATCACACTAACCTTCTATGGCTCCCTTGATTGTTATTATTTTTGCAGATTTTGTTATGACAATGGCGTCACAAAGAGGGACATTCAGGGCAAGTTTGTTCTTTTGGCTTTAAATGTCTTGGCAGTTCAGCCTCACTTGACAAGTCTGAAAACCATGAAGGAAATTCCCCAGGAAGCTTTTTGTTGGCATGAATATATTTGACCATTCTTTTTAAGTCCTCGCATTGCAGGGGATACATGTACGGGCCCTGCTCTGTACCATTTTCAGTTTCAGGGTCCTCTTCAGCCACGTCACTCTCATCAATGTCATCATTAACATTACTTGTGAAGTGATCTGTCATTGTTTGGAACAGGTGCCATTTTGCAATGCATTTGTGGATGCATGCCTGTTTTTTAGCTGTGCAATGGCAGTGCCAAGTATTTCTCACTGTGTCAAACATAACCATTATTCTGCCAAAGTGATTACTGTATGAATGTAGTGGCTCATAGATTGAAACAAATTTTCTCCTTGCCGAACTTCTAACTTTAACATCAATACTGAGAGGAATGCACTTTTCTTTTGCCGCCGTTTGTTTCAGCAAACAAGACATTTTTTTGTCCTCACTAATCCATTTACTGTCTACTATTTTTGTCAGGACATCGTTCTCAAGCTGAATATTGGAGATGAAGAGTGGTGGACAATACCTCAAAGACTGTATGTGAGCACATTCATAAGAAGTAAAGCCGCTTCTATGCATTACCTCTGTTTTGTGGTGACAGGCAACTAAAGAACAGCTGATTTGGTGGTTTGTGCCTGTGGTTTGTTTTTTAACATGAATTGGTGCACTATTACTGTTGAATGACTTTGCAACAGCATATATGCCCAAGCTAATGTCCAGACATTGGCTTGGCAAGTGTCGATCAACTCTGATATCTTCCTTAGCAATGGGGTGCTGGCACATCATATGCTGTTTTAAGTACTTACTGTTCAAGTCAACATTACAAATGGTGCACTGTACCCTCTTCAAATTAGTGGAATTGCGAGTTCTGGGTTGTGGCGGCTGGTTCTGGGGCAGAGGCGGCTGGTTCTGGGGCAGAGGCGGCTGGTTCTGGGGCAGAGCGGGCAGAGGCAGCTGGTTGTGGGGCAGAGCGGGCAGAGGCAGCTGGTTGTGGGGCAGAGGCGGCTGGTCCTGTGGCAAAGGCGGCTGGTTCTGGGGCAGAGTGGGCAGTGGTGGCTGGTTCTGGGACAGGCAGGTATTAAGGTGTTTTAGGATTGCCTTTCTCCTCGGAAATGTATTTGAACAGAAACAGCAGTGGAAGTGACAACCACCTCTGCAGCCCCAGTTGCACATATAAATGGCAACGTCTGTAGGAAAAATATATGTATTAATTACTCATAGTTCTTCTAGTAAACAATATAGAAAACATTTCATGTATAGTTTGAAAATTTGATGTCATATGCAAAGCATTTTGAGATCAGTAGAAACGTTTTTCACATAAGAGTTTTAAAATTTAAGAATAACTTTTCATTACATTTATTGGCAATTTTACTTTATAAATACAATTTTCTAGTGGCCAACATGAAACTAAATCAAATAATGGGCCCTAAATAGCAATAGTTTTACTGACCAGATTCATGTTAGTGAAGAAAAGTAACAAAATAATAATTCTAGATCAACTTAACATAATATTAATTTACTGCATGTGATATATTATACCTTTTGCATCATCATCTTCAAAAGTAGTAATAACCAAGCAAATACATCATACCTCCGTAACGTACCACAGTCTTCTGGTGGCTTTGTATATGCACTTCCACCCTCGCAAAATCCCCCCTATAATTCGGACAAAAGGGACAGTGGAGTAAAGGGCACTTGGGGTCGGAGCATCGTTCCGCTTGTGGCCTTCGGCCACTGCGAAATATTGACAAATGATCCTTAAAACAAAAGAACCGTATGAATTATGATCATGCTACATTACTTGTTTTGACAAATAAAGTAATAAAACATTTGCGAATGGCATACGCTAATGACCGCATGGCTGTAAGTGTAGCCAACAGCTAGCCTTGCCACCGATATTGTTCAACTTTTTGAATGCATACTTTTGATTACTACTTACGGTTAGCATTGCGTTAGTTCTATGGTTGGATTAGGAAAGAATGCAATTGCTTAAAACAAGTTATACTTACGGACATGTAGAACACACGTAGTGACACCTTCGCTGTGAGTTTCACGTGCGGTTCAACCAAGATTCCGTGTTGCTGGTTATTTTGAAAGCGTATTTTGATACTGATTGGTGATTGGCTGTTGAAACTTTACAGTAACCCCCACTAAGGCGTATTTGTAGTCCAACGGAAACGCCCCCACAGCTGGCCCGACCCTCCTCGACACAAGGGGAGAGGAGAGAGGCAGAGACTTGGGGAGAGAGGAGAGGGAGACTAGAGGAGAGGGAGAGACGAGGGGAGAGGAGAGAGGGAGAGATGAGGGGAGAGAGGAGAGGGAGAGAGACCAAAGGGGCACTGGGGGAGACACCAGAAGGAGACTAGGTGAGAGAGGAGGCAGTGATTCAGCAAGATATTTTTCAATCACAAACATCTTTGATCTCTCAAAAATGGGAATAATATCTGCAAAGTCGACATCACAACACGATCTAGACACACTGAAAAATGTATAGGAAAAAGAGGGGGAGAGAGAGAGAGAGAAAGAGAGACAGAGAGAGAAACAGAGAGAGTGACAGAGACAAAGAGAGAGAGAAACAGCGAGAGAGAGAGAGAGAGAGAGAGACAAAGAGAGAGACACAGAGATAGAGAGAGACAGTGAGAGAGAGAGAAACAGCGAGAGAGAGACAGAGATAAAGAAACAGCGAGAGATAGAGAGAGAGAGAGAGAAACAGAAAGACGGAGACAGACAGAGAGAGAGACAAAGAGAGTTTTTTGATGAGGGAACAATGTCGTAACATATTTTAAAGCTCAGAAAAGTCACATTCCCACACTGTACATCTCCTTTAAGAATCAAAAGGCGTCGTTGATCCGAGCAGTGGTAATACTGAGAGCTGCAGCAGTAAAATTGGCTTTAATAATATTCAGGTTTTGTGAAATCTAGGCACTGAGCGACCCCTTCCCCCTCTCTCTCTTTCCTCAGGATGAAGTAGTCTGGGTGGGGCCGGTCTTTGCGGGTCGGGGTGGTACGGAGGAGGCAAAAAAAACGACAAGGGGAGAAAGAATAATTGCAACCATCCAACTTATCTTTATAATCTCAGTCTCGGAAATGCGGCATTAGTTTCTGGAGCGTGGCCAACGATGGCTGCTATTTTTACGAGTGGGTTTTTGAATGAAAAGAGGTCCAAAAATCAGGTCCGATCAGGGCTGGATGATGTAATGAACATTTGAGAAAGGAGACACAAGCGTAGGAGGGAGTTTGCGGTTTGGAAAGTTAGCTTAAAGCACCAGGCTGTTATTGCAGCGGGCGGCGGTGGAATGCCAGCGACTCACTGCTGCGACCGTAAAGGAATAAAAGAGAGAACGGGTCCTACGTCTAACCACATTATGTCATCGCTTCTTTATGATCTGCTAATAACCAAATCGTTTCGAGGGAAAACATTCTGGTTTCAATCACAGGCTGTAAAAGATGTTGGACTCTTTGGACTTATGAGACGCTAATGTTGCTAACAGGCCGATTGACAAAGCATGGCCAGGGATACAGACTGGTATAGTGTAGGTTTTTCAGCTTGTTAAGATATTAGACACATGCATATTTACAGTAACAAGTTTGATTCTCTATTTTTATACTTTTAGACATATTCAGTGATCAATATCTTTGCAGATACCTTTGCAGAAAGGTGCAAAGCGGGTCCTATGAAATAACGCAGGTGTCTCCAACCTTTTTCACCCGGAGAGCTACTTTCCTGCGACGATAAAGGTAGAGAGCTACTTCTTTAAGTGGCCCTGGGAAAATGTGGTGATATTTTGGTGAGAACTAGCCTGATATTGGTTACTGTCAGAATTTATCATTGCATATTTTTTTACTATAGCGATAAAGTGCATTTACAATAATAAATAATGATAATGAAGGCTGGTGCTATGAGACTTGGGTGGCATCTCTGACTGCCACCCCCCTGACCCAGAAATGGATTAAAGGGTAGAAAATGGATGGATGGATGGATGGATAATGAATGATACAATCTGAAAGTATATTATTTGATTTGTTAATTTCTAAATCCTTTGGGGAGCTATCTGAAAGGTGGTCACACGCTACTAGTGCAGTGGTGGGCAAACCCCGGCCCGTGGGCCAGATGCGGCCCTTTGGATGCTTCTATCAGGCCCCTGAGCCCTCCTCAATTTCTATAGATTAAGATTAAGATCAAGAGAGATTAGGATTAAGAACCTTTGTTCATCCCACAGTGGGGTAATTTCAGTTTAAACATCATACAATCCCCCTCTGTGCTGTGTGCAGAACTATTTTTTCATATAAACCATATATTTCTTTTTTATAATTAAGCCTGAGAAAACATTGAAATATCAGACGGCTGTCGGGATCTGGACCTAATTTCCAATGTGGCCCTCAGAAGGAACAGTTTGCCCATGTCTGTACTAGTGGCTCCCGAGCTACAGGTTGGAGACCCCTGAAATAATGTGATCTGTGTCTTGTACGAACATGAAATGATCATGAAATAACATGGATTATCATGAAATAACGTGATGCCAGCGAAAAAATAACACACTCACAAGTGAACCCAACATGCTTCTGTAGAAAGGGGACAATAGTTTGGCAGATATTATTTCCTCGAGGGAACGCTGCCAACCCATTGGCTGTGAAAAAAACTAGGTCCAGCTAAAGATGAAGACCTGGGACTTTATGTCAGCAGCTAAGACGGAGGAAAGTCTGTATTAGCCTCCTGAACACGTAACTTTATATGTGATAAGTTTGTTTACATGTGATCCACAGTAAATGCTGCTGGTGCATTAACATTTCTATCTTTCCAACCTCCAACCAGGATGAGAGGAAATCAATCAATCAACTTTTATTTGTATAGCGCCTTTCCACCACAAGGCACCTCACAACCCACATCATATCAAGAGCAAATCATAAACATAAAAATCAACATATACATAAAAAAAAAAAAAAAAAAACATAAATAAATAAAAAAACACAAAAGATTAACAACAGAATAAAATTAAGTAATTAAAAACATTAAAACATTAAACGCACACAGAATTAAAATAATAATAATAATAAAAATGTAATCGGGGTGAATCTATTTTCCTTGATAAGATGCTTGTTGCTGGTTCGATCCAAGCTTTGTTGAACGTCAAGACAATTGTTATTCAAGGCCATTCTTTTAGCTGAAGGTGTCATAGAATAAGTAAACAAAGATGTCTGACTCAATCCGGGCTCTGACCTCATGATGAAAAATACAAAATGACTGAATCGGTTGTGGTTTAAGATAAGATCAGAGAGCATTTATTTATCCAGCGTTGTGGACGTGGCTGAAGATCGTGAGTCATGGGTGACCAAGATGGAACCTACTGTCACAACAAGTCAAAGTAATTGAATTGTAATCTTAGAATCTGTCTGACGTGGAAGAAACAATACATTTCTACTAGAACCTGAGCTCAGAGAAACTTATCAGGGATTGTCACTGAATATTTATGGGGTCGTACTTCCATCTCGTCCATTATGTCTATTCAATTTGTTCTGTAGTGTTTACTCAATCTATGAACCCTTTCAGCTCATTTCGTTTTAGATGTCATTAAACAGCTTGGACATGAACCAAATTTATTATATGACTTGGATCGTTCGCGCGCTCTGATTGGCTGATTTGCGGTCTGATATTTTTCCATCTCGGACCGTTACCATGACAATTGGTCCACAGCGCGTATCAGATTTGATATCTTTCCTCGGTAAAAAAGAAATAATGTGCAACGACTGGAAGCATTCTCCAGTGAATTCTATTATCCGGACGAGTTCGAAGATCCAGAGGAAGTAATAACAGCAAATAACGACAAAAACACAACTCCTAACAGTTAAGAAGAGATTGACAACTTTGTTACAGACCAGACAGGTAAAAACTCGATTAGGAAAACCAAGTCGGACATGAACATACTTCACAAACATCTAAAAAGCATTGGTAAAGACTAGGGATGTAAAAAACTATGAATTTTCATGACCAACCACCGAGCCTCATTAACCGGTTGAAACCGGTTAACCGCGTAGTTTAAAATAGTCCACGTTCTTTGAAATAACAGCCATTTCGAGCCACGTACTTTTCATAAGTGCAGCTGAGCGTTCTACTGGATCAGAGCCGAGACAGCGGCGCCAAAACCCACAACAGCTCCGGCACCTTTGCGCACAGAGAACTGCTGTTTTAATCTTCCCATTCTGCTGTGCTGCGGGTTAATACCAAAACTTTCTAGCAGCAAACGACGGCTCGTTCACATGGTCAGATCAGCGAGTGACGAGCCGCGTCTCACAGGTCTTCACAAAAGTTTAAATACAAGTGATGTGTGTGGAGCTGATCCCGAGGACCATAAACACAAACATGTTCCATGTGGTTTGACTGGAGCCGCGTATTTGCGCGAATCCTTTGGGCTCCGTGACACAGAGGAGCGCGACAGACCGGTATGTGTGTGTGTGTATGTATGTGTGTATGTGTGTGTGTATGTGTGTATGTGTGTGTGTATGTATATGTGTGTGTGTGTGTAAATGTAAGCTCCAATGTAGTTCTGACCCGCACCAGTGTGCAACTTTGACGGTAACAGAGGGGAGAGATGATGCGTGTGGATGTTACGTATGGAGAGGGGGAAAGTGTGTGTGTGTGTGTGTGTGTGTGTGTGTGTGCGTGCACACATGCGTGTGTGCATATGTGGCTCGTGTGGCGTGAGAGTCGTCCCGGAGTTTATAATACATGGGCGCACACAGCTAGATACAGACCCGTGCAAATAGGGCTTAAAATAGCGTTATTAAGAGACCTCCCCTCTCCCCCTTTTCTCTTTTTTAACCGACAGCTTTGACCGGTTAACGCTGTGACGGTCACCACCGG